TAGTTTTATTTTCTACATGCATTATTGCATTACGCATGGCATATTCGTCTTCGATGGTTAAAGTTCCGAATAATATCTTGCTAAGTTGTCCAACAAATTCCAAGGGAGCTCGTTTTGTGCGGGATTCTCCTATGAGTGCGCGTATATGATCTTGATACTGCTTTATCTTATTCAATTTGGCAATTAATGAAGTCAATCGTGGTCGTATTTCACAATGTGAATTGTGATCACCACATTGTTGTAATATCGAGTCCATTTGCTGTTCGAGTTTGGCTGTTGCACCTTTAATATCGCGCAAGTCGATGTAGATTATCATCTTCCAAGAATTTTCGGACGTACGCATTTCTCCAACGGCCTCGAAAAATATTCCAGGATTATCTTTTAAACCAGTAATTGTGTATTCTTTTTCCTTCATCCCTGATCTGCAATCCGAGCAGGTTTAGTTCGGTCTACATGTACGATTTTAATTTTATTTGGTGGAATTAATATTTTAATATTATTATTTTCTAGGATTTCCACAATTTCATACGGCCCTGTATATTCATCATCGAACTTGTTTTTCTTTTTAGGTTTTAATAAATATATAAAGTTTCCTATTTTATACGCTTGTGTTTTTAATTTCTTATCATAATAGTGTTTATAACGTGTTTTGGCTAACCCTAAATTTGATACAGCTAGTTTCCTTAGATCAGTTAATTTATCAATAAGTTCGCTCACGTAATCGTCATACGTTTCTACCGGACTTTCTGTCTTTATTTCAGATGGCAATCGTGCGGCTTTGCCGAATACTAATTCATACGGTGTAAATTTTGTTCCCTCATGTACGCTAGTGTTATATGAAAACATAGCATGCTCGAGCCAATTATCCCAATCATGTTCATCAGTTATGTAATGCTTTAAATATTCGGTCAATACATGGTGGCTTCTTTCTAACGAGCCATTGGATTGAGGATGGAAAGCAGTTGTGCAATATTGTTTTATTTTAAAATATTTTGCAAATTTCTTCATCATTGAACTAGTAAAATTTGAACCTTGATCCGTCAAAATTGCTTTGGGACTTCCAAATTGACAAATAAATCTACGCGTGAATGCTTTTGCTATTTCCTCTGAGTTCGCTTGCACAAGAGGTACGGCAACTGAATATTTTGTTAATTGATCCTGAATCGTTAAAATATATTCATTACCATTATCAGTAATAGGCAAAGGCCCTAATATATCCATAGCAACTTTATCAAATGCGTCTACAGGAGTGTCGGTTATAATCATCGGTTGTTTAGTCTTTACGCGTACTAATTTTTTCTTTTGGCAACTACTACAGGTTTGAATAAATTTTTCAACTTGACTTTTCATATTTTCCCAAAAATATTTATGACGTATCCGCGCCACTGTTTTTGCGATTCCTTTATGTCCTCCGACACTGGATTCGTGGGACTCACGTATGATACGCGGTCTATCCTTGAGCTCGGGTATGCACACTTGGCCCTTACATACAGTAATTTGAATGTCTGTATTTAAAAATGTAAGTCTTATAATGCATCGTATTCTGAACCATGGTATTTTTATATCGCTATTGTTTTCGGATATGCTCGCATGTGAAATATTTAAACGCATCATTTCGTTTTTTAATTCTCTAAATCCCTGCGCTACATGTTTTTCTTGAATTTGATCATTTAATTCTTCTTTAATTATTATTCCAAAAATTTTCTTGTTGTTCTTTTCTGATATTAACACATGTCCTATTATTCCTTTAAAATTCTTCGGCTTCTGGCATATTTTTCTATCAATTAATTCTTTCCCTATTTCATCTATCGGATCTCCCTTTGTATTTATAAAGTATATTATATTATCATTTCTCATCCATATGTGATCTCGAGAGTCTATAATGTTAACAGAAGTAACTTCCATTTCTCTTATTCTTGGTCTCTGTAATTCTCTCGGTGGTGTTCGTTCCTTTAAGTTAGATTTTTTATTTGTTTTCTTACTTAATTTTTTGTTTGGGAATTTTTTATTTACTGGTCTTTTATTAGAAGTTGTGGCTTTTGTTTTCGCAGAATTTTTATTACTTATTTGTAAAGGTTTAGGAACTGCTTTATACGAAGGAGGTGAAAATATTCTATTTGTATTACTTTCGTCTGTCGAATCATCGCTCGGCGTTTTTTGTTCACGGTATCCTAATGGTTTTTTATTTATTTCATAATCCATTTCATTATCAGTGTCTACTTCCATTGTTTTTAATTCTTGTTTATTTAATGGTATATTTTCTTCTATTATTTCAATAGTGTCAATGTCATCTGGCAATTTTTGTAATTTTTTTATCAATTTTTACTTTTGATTTTGGTATTATTTGTATATGCGAAGGTGGTGCATGAACATCAGCCTGTACTTCAATATTAGTGCGGTTTTGATGGCTGTCGCTAGATTGTGATGTTATTTCTATAGCCTCATCTTCAGATTCCTCTTGTTGTTTATGCATTTCTTTTTTATTATAAAATTTTTTATCATCGATTCGTTTTTTCGGGACACCCGTTGTGTGGCTTCCGCTCGGTCTCTTGCGTGAAGCGCGTGCGTCGTCGGGAGCGGTTGCTTCCTGCAGCGGCTCATAGGCGGCGTCGTCATCGCTAAGACGCTCTTGCGGGCCGCGCCCTTCAGCTTCATCCACATGCAACATTGCGTCTTTAGTGTCATCATGGGATTCGTCAAGTTTCTTCGGACTGGAATCTTTACGGTGTTTCTTTGTTCTCTTATGCTTTCGCTTTCTGCGTCTTATGTGGGTAGAAGAGCTACTCTCATGTTTCCTTTTTTCACCTTTTTGACATATTTCTGGATCGTCGGTATCATAGTCGGTTTCATAATAATATGAAACTGTTCCACTGTCACTGCTACTGTCTAAAGCTTTTAAAAATTTACTTCTAGGTGATATTTCTTCTTCACTATCTGAATCTGAATCTATATAAGGAGATGGTTCATCAGGTCTGTTCTTTTTATGCGGTGCTGGATTTCCTGATCCTTCACTTTCCATTGCTCTTTTAAAACTTGGGTGAAATGTTTTTTGTTTTTTATGTTCTTGCCCTACTGAGGCTTCACTTGAAGATGATAATGCTCGTTTTGCATTCAAAGGATATACATGTTTAATTTCTTCGATAGGATTCCTGGACAAAGCGTCAGCATTTTTATTTATCTTTCCTGGTTTGTATTTTATTTGATAATCGTATTCTGCTAATTTTAGTCTCCACCTCATTAATCGTGACGTAGGATCAGATACTGAATTTAACCATTCTAATGGTTTATGATCCATTACTAATGTAAATTTACGTCCATAAACATAAGGTCGAAAATGTTTCACAGCATAAATTAAAGCTAATAATTCTCTTTCTGTAGGCGAATATCTTGTTTCTGCGTCATTTAAAACTCTTGATGCGTAAGCTATGGGTAGATCGCTTCCTATTTTGCCTTGACTTAATATTGCACCAATGGCGTATCCTGATGCGTCAGTAGTTATAATAAACGGTTCATTAAAATTAGGATATTGCAAAATTGGTTCTGAGCACAAGGCGTGTCTCAATTTATCAAATGCTTCTTGTTGTTCTTGTTTCCATTCAAATGCAATAGATTGTTTCGTTAAATCTGACAGAGGTTTAGCGATTTTAGAAAAGTTTTTTATGAATCTTCGGTAATATCCTGCAAGACCGAGAAATTGCTTAATATTCTTTCGTGTTTTTGGCGTTGGAAATTCTTTTACAGCGTTTATCTTCTTGGGATCGGGTCGTACACCATTTTCAGTTATTACATGTCCAAGATAAGCAACTTCTTTCTTTAAAAATTCACATTTATCAGGTTGTAAGGATAAATTTGCTTCTTCTAGTCGTTTCATTAATCGTTGGAATTTAATCTCATGTTCCTGAAGTGATTTAGCGTATATTACGATATCATCGAGATATACAAATAATTCAATTCCTTGTAAGCCTGTTAATACCTGATCCATTAATCTCTGAAAAGTAGCAGGAGCGTTCTTTAGTCCAAACGGCATACGGTTATATTCAAAATGTCCGTACGGTGTTGAAAACGCAGTCTTATGCTTGTCAGTCTTGTCCATTAATATCTGGTGAAATCCAGAAGCTAGATCAAATACTGAAAAATATTTCGCACTACCAAGTTGATCGAGTATATCGACAATATTTGGTAGTGGATATGCATCACCGATCGTTTTCTCATTAAGCGCTCGAAAATCTATTACGAGACGCCATTTTTTATTGCCTTTAGAATCATCCTTTTTTGGTACAATCCATAAAGGAGAATTATAAGGCGAGCTCGATGGCTCTATCACACCTTTTTCCAACATTTCGTCAACCTGTCGTTGTATTTCTTCTTTATGTACTTGAGGATATCGATATTGCTTGACATTGATTGGTCTATCGTCAGTGGTGAATATTCGGTGCTTTGATACGCTAGTTGCGCCTAGCGATTCTCCTGGCAAATGAAATCGTTCCGCATATTTTCTTACTAGCCTAGTGACACTAGTTTTTTCTTCCGCATTTAAATGATCGAGACGTAGTAGCTGTATTATTTGATTAACTCGTGTTTTATTGTCCTTTGAGTCTTCTTCTGCGTCATTTGCGTCCATTTCTTCGTTATTTAGCTCTTTGAATGGATATATTTTTACAGTCGGTATTGCTAATTCTACGTCTTCGTCCGATGAGTTAATAACATATAGATGTGCTATCCCATCACGATTTCAGACTACGGCGTTACCTAAGTACACCTGCAATCCGGCATCTAATTTTGGAATATATCCGTATTTTATTTCAGGATTTGCTACACGAACAAATATTTGTTTTCGCGTTCTAGCGGGAATAGTGACGATTTCGTCGTTATGGAAATAGTACGATACTCCGTTCACAACCAGACAAGCCCTCGGGTAGTCTATAGTTGCCTTTTGATTTTTGAAGAATTCCGTGCCTAGTATTCCATCTGACTTAATTGGAAAATTATTAGGAACTACATGAAACCATGCATCAGCATCGAGAATGCGTAATTTAGCTACGCCTATCGTGCGTGTTCGTCCTTTAGTTATTCCACTAAGCTCGAATACTATTTTCTTATCAATGGGCACATTCTCATGGAGCGAATTCTCTTTTATCAAATTTATGTCGGATCCCGTATCTATCATAAAGCTAGCGCGTTCGTCGAGAAGATTTTTACTTGGCAGGACGACAGAAGGTGGCTTCCCGATTTTATTACAGATTTTTACACTTGCGTTTCCTCTTGAGGTTCCTCCGGGTTGACCAGGCGCACTCGCGGGCGTTCGTTCAGCGCTGCGCCTACTCGCTGAGCCCGATCTCGGTTTCCCGAATTCTCTTGGGCTCTGTCGCGTCGTACGTTTTCAGAAATTCTATTTTCTCTATTGAAATATTGATTTCCTTGATTTCGCAGATTATTATTATATTGTCTCTTTCGACATTGTTCGAGACTGTGGCCAGGAATCTTGCAGTATCGGCAAATTAAACCAGCGTTTCGCGGATTAGCTAAATTTAGACGATTAAAACGATTATTATTATTAAAATTCATATTTCGCGTGGCATTATTTATCAAAGGATTTCGAACATTATTTAATAAAGGATTTCGGTTCAAAATTCGCGGTTGTAAGGCTTTACATTCTGCTCGTACATGTCCAGAATTTTTACAATACGAACATACTTTTGGTTGCCATTGCACATGAGATATTTGTGCAAGAGGATTAATAGTGCTGCATGAATAAGTATCATGACCATATCCAAGACAATTATTGCATCGAATTGATTGTATGAGTCCTTCCGTTATTCTTATACGTTGCGCGTGTTCCTGATACTCTGTTTCAGCTTTTATTGCGGATTCTATCGCGGTATTCAAAGTAATTGCGTCTCGTGGATACATTCTTGTATAAATGTCTGTTTTTAAACCAGTTAGAAAATTTCTTACAGCATTGCTTTCAGCAGAATTTAAAAATTGTATCGCCTGATTCGGATTTCAGTTTGATAACAAGATTTTAATTGTTGCAGGATCATTGATACTCGGCTACCGTAATCGACTACTGATTCGTCGGGATGTTGAGTTACTTTAGCAAGTTCCCCGTGCAATTGTGATGAAGAATAAACTGGTGCAAATCTAGTTCTTAAGACTGCTAACAAAGATTCTATATCATTATATTCTCCACTTAATGCCACCCTCAATGCAGGTCCGACTAACTTATTTTTTATCATTTGAACAAGTCCATATTCCGCGGTAGGAGAAATCATATTTTTAGCGTGCATGCAACTATTAGCAAATTGTAGGACGGGCATATTTTTTCCATCAAACGGGAGAATTGTCTCGGCTGCATCTCGCAAACTTATATACGGCGCATTAGCTCTACGATTCGCGTCGGTTGCGTTAATATTCATGTCGCCTATCTGTCTAGTTAAATCATTTATTCCGTCTGTAGCCATTTTTATTTATTATAATTACTTATTCGTTAAAAGGAAATGTAAAAGTTCGTAATATTGGCAAGTTCGCACTTACATGTATCGTATGATAATGAAAAGAAGAATGATAGTTATGCGCGACTCCATGAAGCCTTGTCCACACGCTCGCAGCCTTATCCCTGCAGCTTCTCTCCGGAAAAGATCCTCTTCTCGTTAAAGTAGAGACAGGATGCGTAGAATGAATACAGCAATCGGCTTCTTTTTCCGCTACTGGCTCACTCAGCTTCCAGAGAATTGAAGTGTTGTCCCAAGGGATGCTTTCCAGATGTCCAATCCTTTCAGCCTTCCAGTCGGGATCGCCTTTTTGACAATCCCACCGCTGCCACCAAAAATTTCAACTTGTGACGTCCTGGGTGATGCGAGGTGGCTTCGATCCGACAGAACG